CTATGTATCTGTCATTAAACCAATACCAGGCAGTTTTGACTACTGTGGCTGTATAGTAGGTTTTGAGATCTGGCAGTGTGAGACCTCCTACTTTGTTTTTTTCTTCAATAGAGCTTTGCTTATCCGAGGTCTCTTTCTTTTCCATAAAAAGTTAGTGATTGGTTTTTCCATATCCCTAAAGAATGTTGATGGGATCTGGATTGGAATTGCACTGATTGTATAGATTGCTTTGGGTAGCACTGACATTTTTACAGTGTTCAATCTTCCTATCCATGAGCATGGGATGTTCTTCCATTTAGTAGATTTCTTATGGTTTCTTGAAGTAGTTTTTTATAGTTTTCTTTGTAGAGGCCTTGAGATCTTTCAAGATCTATCTATCTGGGATGAGCTCAAAAGATTAGATAGGAAACTTAGGGGCCAGTGAGTTTATATTAATGGGGGAGAAAAGAAGGGATAAGAATGATTACACAACTCAAATAATGTAATCACTGTCACTCAGTTGTACCTGTAGAAACTGTTGAATTGGTGTTTGTTTTGCTGTGTATATTCTCAACAACAACAACAAAATAAATAAAAAGAAGCCAATGGAAATATTAATAATCATGTAGTTAATAAAGCAGATAGGATTTAGGACTTTTAAACTTAGATGTTAAATATTTAGCTTACTAAAGTTGATCCTTACCATTCAGTAGAATTGTGATATTTTGTGCTCAAATTAGATCCTATATTTTATTTTCCAACTTAAGAGAACTTTAAGCAGCTAATTTTCTAATGCAGAAGGAAGATCTTGTGTGAATTTAACCCGTTAGAAATGTGATCTTATTGAAAGGTTATTGATAAAGCTATAATTATGGTTTATCTAGATAGTCTCTAAGTGTTACATAGTCAACTTTGTCAGATGTCTCTGGGTGTTGATTGTTATATGATATGGTCTCTGTCTTTACTGGTAGAGAGAATAATTACAAATTAATTCTTTAAATGTTTTAGTTTTGTGACTTAAAAACTTTTGTTGACAATGAAAGAAAATTATGTCATACATTCCGTTCTTCTTTTATAGCTGGAGTATGAAAATGCCAAATTAAGAAATATAAATTTTTCTTTGTCTGAAGCCCTTCATGCCCAGTCATTGACCAACATGATCCTGGAGGATGAAGGTGTTTTGGGCAGCATTGAGAACTCTTTTCAAAAGTTCCATGCTTTCTTGGATCTCCTTAAAGACGCTGGGTTAGTTTATTTCTTGTCATGTATTCTTTCCTCCGTGACTTTAATGGTAGTTTGCTGGCGAACTTGAGCAATTTTCATCACTTCCATAAGCCATATCACTTTTTTTAAAAAAATGGGCAATTAAAAAGAAATGGAGAATGGCATATCTGCCTTGGCAGAGTAGGGAGCCCATTAGTAGAGCCCTATCCTGTAGATAGGGTAGGTAGGTATAATTCTTGATAAAGACTAAATTGAAGATGATTTCATTAGAAAATACTTAGAAATGTATAGGTATTTCCCTACCTTTTTTCATTTTTCTCATTAAGTTTGAATTAGAGTTAGTTTTGTCCTAGACATAAAAATTGTTACAAATTTTTTTTTAATTGATACTAATCTGAAGGGTCGGTTGATCATGGTCCTCACCTGGGAGCAGTTCAAACTCAAGATGCTGAAAGAGTTGAAGATAGATAATTGACATGATGTTTTGTAAGTGAATACATTGATATTAAAAAAAGAGTAGACACCACAGTTTTGGAGACTGGAGGAAAGGAGATAACAGTATGTGGGGATGGAAGTGGAGAGACTAAAGCTGCTAGTAAGATAGTCTAAAAGCATATAGGCAAAAACTCAAAGCTAAGCAGTAGTTAATGCATTGTCAGGAAGAAGAGGGAGTGCATAAAAGATCAGATGATCTGATGAGGTCCCAAACCCCCAAAAAAACAAACAGACTTACTGCCACCAAGTTGATTCAACTCATGGTGACCCCTCTTTGAGTTTTCGAGGGGGTGGGTATCTCTCCAGAAGTAAATTGCCCAATCTTCCTTCTGAGGAGTGGCCTAGTGGGTTTGAATTGCTGGCCTTCTGGTTAGCAGTCAAATGCCTTGCCACCAGAGGTCCTGATGAGGTCCCAGTGCATGAAAATAGAAAAGTCTGAGAAAATGAGAAAGATGGAAGACTGTAGTCTGGAACAGGATGTTGGCTTTTAAGATTTTAGAAGTATTTTGGGTATAGTGAAATCAAAGATGTTTGTAGGTGATTTTAATCACCCTTGCTTTTTCCTCCTTTTCTCCACTTGTCTAGGCTTGGACAGCTTGCCACAATGGCTGGTATAGATCAGTCAGATTTTCATTTGCTAGGGCATCCCCAAATGAATTCTACTATTACTGATACCCCTAAAGAAGAAAAGAAGGCACTTGAAGAAGAAAAACCAGAATCCAAGCAGAATACCCTGGGGCAAATGCAGAATATCCAGGTAAGTGGACAAAACCGAACTTACGATTATAAGAGTGAGGAGCAGAAAGGGAATTACCAAGTCAGGAAGAAAGTAATGATCTTTTACTAATAGTTCAGATGCTTAGGGTCTAGAAGCATCTTTGGGGTCCTTTCCAAGTCTAAGATTAGTAATTTTATACCTATTTCATCATACTGTAGTGTTGTAAATAAGAAAACTGGAAGTTTTTTTTGAAACTTTATGATCTAAAGCAAACTATCCTCAATGAAGAAAGAAATGAAAGATTAGAGAAATAGTCTAAATTTAAAATTTTGTAAATGCCTGTTCTATTCATATTTCATCTAAGTTTCTGTTTGTATATGCAGTCAGCTTACAGTGAAGGAACAAGTACAAGTACTGATACACTTCTTAAGATAAGTAATCCCACATGTTTAATAGGCAATGCATTATAGATAATCACCCAGTCATGGGAGTGGGAGAGGAGGCCTGTTTAGCCACAGGAGTACCTTGCTGTTTTTCCTTCAGCCTCACTTGGAGCTCCCATGTCCCATCTCAGCCAATCTCAGGCCCATCTGAGGAACTCACAGGTGGAGAACAAAGTAGATACTGATCACAGGTGCCTGGAGGATAGAAAACAAAGTAATTAGGGAATGGGTTTTATTTATTTACTTTTCATTAAGGAGAAGGAGATGGGTAAAAATTACCCAAAACACAAAAGTCTGAAAATGTGGTAGAAACAGCCTTGGAAATAGTTAAGTTGGAAATCATTTACTAACATACAGAAACAATGACTCTAAAACCTTCTGAGTAATCAATTGACTGTCTTAATAATAAAGTTACAGGATAACATTGAAGTTTTGGACTCTTCTTTACTTTTTTCATTTCTTTTTACTTGCCCTTTTTTTTTAAAAAAAAAAATTCATCATTGAATTTTTGTTTTGTATTTCCTTCCAGTTCCAGAAAAGTACAGGTGATGCTAAGGTTCCTTTGCCTGTTGACTCCTTCCATGTCCCAGTTTCTACTCAGGAAGACTTAATAACTTCCAAAGATAACTTGGAAGGCCCAGATACTGAGCAGTGGCAGGAGCCTTTGGAAGAATTACTTGCTAGAGTATGTTCTCCTCTAACAGATGTGATTTCTGGGACTGGAAGTGTAAGAAAAGAAGAAGAGCTGTCCAGAAGTAGAAGATCTTCTTCAGAGAAAATGACCCACACAGATGAGTGTAGCAAAAAACACTCTTCTGCGAGACAGCATGGAAATGATCTGCATCTCTACTCTGACTCTGCTGCAAACCGGAAAAGCAAAGGGAGCGGGGGAAATAAGTCTTTGATTAATGAACCATTTAAAACTGAGTCTTTGAAGAAACACATTTCTGCCAAGAAAGAAGGTGGAATAGTGAGTGTTTCATCTGAGACAAATAAAAATAAACCTAGTCCACTAGAACAGTCTGAAAGTAACACTCTTAGATCTGATTTTGAATTTCAAGAAAATATCCATGCTTTATCACGCCTGACATAGGTTTAAATCTTTTGAAATTATGTTTTTGCCTTCAAATTTTAATAAATTTTCTTACATTTTCATTATGGCATATGGTGTTTTAAAATAGAGGACTAGAAGCCATTAGAGAAAGATTTATCTATACTTTTTATTATAATGAAATTGTTGGTGTATATTTCCTTTTGACACTTTGTACCATTCATTCAGTGTATTTATTGAGGGCCTAATAGGATTCTCTGTGCTATGACTTTCAACAGTGAACAAAACCAAGCCTCTACCTCTTGGAACTAACACCGTGTGAAAATAAAGAGATCTATGGAGGGTAGAAAAATAAACAATAAAGCAGGGTAAGGGAAATACAAAGGGATGTGAGTGAGTGAATTAAATAGCTTTATCACCCGTTAAATGTGAAAATACCATATGGCCAGAGTCATCGATTTATCCTTAATAATAACCACAGCAGCAAACATTCACTGGAATGCTTAGCCATGCATTATATTATAGATTACAGCAACTCTATAAGGTAGGGAACTGTTTTTATGCCCATTTTGTAGAAGAGGAATCTGAGGAGACAGGTTATATGAATTGCCCAAAGTTGTGCTGCTATAAATAAGTGGTAGAACTGGGATTTGAGCCAGAACCCAGGCTCTTATCACTTTGTTAATCCTGTTTCCTTGATAAGAGAGGCAGCACTTGAGGATGCCAAGAGAAAAGTTAATGGGCACTAGTGGTGCCAAACAGTAGGGCTCTCAGAAAGCACACCTGTCCCCTCCCCCCATCTGGGTAGAGTTTTTAAAAGGTGGAGAATAGGAGACTGAACTGACATCTGTGAACTAACTTACCCTCCTAATAAAACAGGCATGGATAAGTCCTCAGGCACAAGCAGACTGTGACTTGAGAGGTGAGATCAAAGAAAAGCAGGAGTGTCAGATTTCTTCTGGAAGGCCCTCCCTGGTATCAAAAGGGTTGCTACCACAATACTGTTAATCGTGGACTGAGTGTTTTGGGAATAAAACAATGAACAAGAGGTAGTCTTGGCTGTTTAACAGTAGAGAGAGTGGAGGAGACACAAACATGCTTATTCTACGTGTTAACCTATGATGAGAATACTAAGCCATTGTTTGGGGAAGAAGAAATGGAGCTGTGGGCTAAGAAAGGCTGTTTAAAGAGCTAATAATTGGGCTAAGTCTTGGACTAGGTTGAGACCAGTGAATATAGAGATGAAGAGCAAGGATACTCAAGGCACAGGGAACTGCACAGGCAGAAGTACAGACTCAGCATGAGTGTGATATGTATTGGGGAACCACAAATAGTAGTTTAAAATTACTGGAATGTCATCAGGCTGTGGCAGGTGATGCTAAAGTTGTCAGCTGGGAGAATGATGGTAGGTCTTACAATCCATGTTGCATGGAGCTGGTTCTTTTTCTCAGGAGGATTTGTAGTATGCAACTCTTTTATATTTAATTTTGGGATCTAACAGCTGGTTCCACCAAACCAACTTGGTGAACTTTGAGTTAGGCAATAGCAAGCAGAGAAGGTGGTCTGGAAACATGGTATAGATAAAGGAGGGGATGAGTTTAAATCGTATTTAGGAAGAAAAACTGATTCATGTGGAAGGTGAGGGAAGATGGGACAGAGGGAGGAGTCCCATTTATGTGACTAAGGTTGAGTGGTAGTATAATTGTATACTGGTTGAGTTGGGGACACTGGTATGTATGAGATTGAAAATACGGGATAAAGAACTGATTTGGAGAGATGAGTTTAGTGTTGAATACAGTGAATTTTAAAGCATCTGTAGAGTTGAAGAGCAGATAGCTAGTAAGGTAATTTCCACGTTCATGGATTAATGTCCACAAACACATGAAAAGATAAAATTTTGAAAGCATGTATAAGCACTTAAAATCATGAAAGTGGATGAGATCACATGACTGGCGGCTGTCAAAGTTTAAGTGATAAGCAGAGAAAGGATTCTGAAAAATAGTTTCAAGAAGGAAGAAGAAGAAAACAGTGTCATGCAGATGATACACGTGTCTGTTGAGTTTGGTAATTAGACCCTGGTAACCTTGGGAGCTCTGGTAGCGTAGTGGCTAAGGCACTTGACTGCTAACCAGCAGGCTGGCGGTTCAAACCCACCAGCCACTCC